AAAACTGAAGAATCAACTTCCAGCGATGATCTTAATGATGACAACCCCACAGGAAAGGGAAAGCCTACAGGGTTGCTCGAGGTAGTTAATTCTGGTCAGGTGACGGGCTGTTTGGGAGGAGGAGAAGCTCAAGAAGAGGAAGGAGAAATAATTGACTAATTTCTCTTTTTTATTTCTTGATGTGTCATTTGAAATATCTCATGTATATGGTGGTTTTCTATTGTTTAATTTTGCCTCAAGGAGTTGAATTTGATTTTGATTTCAATGCAAGGCAATATGAACAACAAACAGCTATGAGAAATCTAAAGTATTACTTTACTTTTCTCTAATTTCTCTCTACTCTTCTCAGAGGGTTTTTCATCACCATGGTCTCTCCCATAGATTTCATTTTATTTATGTTTCTAATAAAATTTCTCCGAAGTTGTCTAGTTCTCTATTTCTTTTGGGGATTTCTAGTGAGAATTTTTTCTTTTTTTTTTTGTTGATAGATTTAAATTTATTTGAGATTTGATTGTCAAATTAGATTTTTTTTTTATCTCAAGACTATTTTGATAGATCTCATCATCATTATTGGTGTTTAAAATAGTTGATTAGTAGATCTGGTAATTGCAACATGTATAGAAAGTAGTTATAGTAATTTATCATGATCATTACGAGATAATTTAAAAATTTCTTGTATTTTTCAGATCTATTGAAAATTTTCAAATTTATTGTATCTGTTCAATTGTAAATTTTTATATTTAGTGCATGTTGAATTTGCCATTAAGATAGTAATGTAAAGTCAAATTGTGTTGAATGATTTTCAACAATCAATTAATGAAACTTGCTTTTTATCAAAGAAAAAAAAGAAACAGTTACAAGAAATCTAAGTGTTAAGAAATTGTCAAATGCTTGTGAATTTTCAAAAAAAAATTAGATCCTATTTGATAATTCAATTCAATACTTAAATATAGTGGATTCAGATCTTATTATGTTCAGATATATTTGACAACAAAAAATTGAACATCTAAATTAATTAAATAGAATTGAATTTCCTAAGCAAAACTTGTTATAAAAAATAAGTGATAAACTATTCACTTATCATTCAATGTAATATACATTCAAATATATTTAATTTAATACTTAACAGTTTAATAACTTAATGAATTCATATTTCAGATTTTAAATTTCAGATTTTAGTTTTTAGGGAAAATGACCTGTTTCATCTTTCACATTTTGCAAAAATATTCTTTTCATCCCTCACTTTTAAAATAAAGCAAATTCATCCCTGACATTTACAAATTAAAGCTATTACATCTCTGAACCTAATTTTCAATCTGAATCAAACCATTCAATAGCCCAGTAATAAATTTCGGAAATAGAATTAATAGATCACTCGGTCAATTTTATCATATTCACATGACATTTATTAAACCAAAAAAATAAAAATTATGACATAAAAGGCCATTCTTTGTCTTGGAATAGTGGGATTTTTTTCTTAGTAAATCTTTTCATACACCGTTAGTATATCCGCTTGCAAATCTAGATGTGTATCATAAATATAAAATTTGGTGTTTAAATTTAAATTGAAATAATATGGCAGTACATAAAACCGTCGGTGTATACAATGATAATGTAGGAAAGATTAATCTTTCTTTTTTATGTTATAATTTTTTATTTTTTCTTTTTTGGTTCATTAAATTTTATATGAATATCAAGTTGAGTTAACCAAATGATCCACCAATTACACTCCCAAAATTTGTAATCAGGTTGATTGGTGGTTTGATTCAAATTGAATTTGGGTTCAGGAATGTAAGAACTTCAGTTTTTAAATATCAAGGATGAAATTGCTTCGTTTTAAAAATGAGGAACGAAAAGAATATTTTTGTAAAATGTGAAGGATGAAACCGATCATTTTTCCTAGTTTTTAAACTTCAGTTTTATCAAACACACCCTTAGCAACATAACATTCGTACTAGGAAATCTCAAATGACATAATCAATTGACAAAATTAAAATTGTTGAGTGCAAAAAGTTCTATTTGTGGAAAGTATCGAGAGATTTTGCTATTTGCGTAATTGAAAAGGCATAAATTCAACCTTTTCTATATTGATTTTAAATCCAACCCTGGCATCTAGGCGAGATACATTCTCTTAAATAGAACTCAACTGCTCCTTTTTCCAACGTCTTAATCTTTTCATTTTGTATTTCTTAAATGTTAAGATATTTAAGGATTAATCTATTCTATACTAATTAGATTTAGATGTATACCACACGTACAAATTTTGAAATTTCAATCAAAATTGAGATTAAATGGCATGAATTAAGTCTGTTATTATATACATTATCAGTGTAGAAAAAATTAGTCCAATATTAAAATAGGATAAATTCTTACATAGATCATGATGCATTAACTCATCATCCACGATGTGATCCTAAACATGTCTAGTTCAATAAAATGCTATGGGATGTAATTTTGTAATCCTAAATATCCCTAGTTCAATAAAATGCTATAGGAACCATTGGGCTTTAGCTCACTGGCAACCGCTTTTCCTGGTGGGGGTGGGAGTAGGGCTGCAAACGAGTCGAGTCGAATCGAGTTTTGAGCTAATTGAGCCGAGTCTCGACTAAATTTTATCAAATTCGAACTCGAGCTCGAGCTCGACGAGCCGGCAAATTTCGAGCTCGAGCTCGAAAAAAAATAAAAAATAATTATTTTATTTTAAAAAAATAAATAAAATAATATTTTTTTCTTAATAAATAATAAAATATTAAGAATATATACGTAATTTTACTATAAAAATAAAAAATAAAAAATATATATATATATATAATATACGTAATTTTATTATTAAATAAAAATAATATATATATATATATATATACCCAAGCTCGCGAGCCAGCTCGCGAGCTAACGAGTTTAATATTCTGAGCTCGAGCTCGAGCTCGACTCGAACTTGACTCGAGCCGCTCGATTCGTTTGCAGCCCTAAGTGGGAGGTTAGGGGTTCAATCCTTGCCTTCCACTAAATTGTCTGCCCCTCATGGGCAACTCGGTTGGTCTCAACAAGTCTCCTTAGGAGCTGGTATCCAGTGTCCGCAAGGGTGCGAGTCCTGTGGTTATCGTGTTCGGGAGGATGGGGCCTCTCCTCCCGGGGTGGAGTGGAATTAGTCGGGCCCCGTAAGGATTGACCCGGACACCCACTCCATCAGCCAAAAAAAAAAAAAAAAAAAAAAGAAAGCTATAGGATGTCGTTTTGTGGTCCTTTTGCCACTAGTTTGAATTGATTAATATTTCATAAACCTTACCCAATCCCTTTGCAATTGTACTTCAACAATTAAAAATGTACCCTCTCTGACTTGTGAATCAATCACTCAATGTAAAAGATTTATCGCTTTATCTGAACAACCACATAGAAAATAGTTGACTTTCAATGTAATATTTAATGCAAATGATACACTACTACATGAACAATGAACCGATCAAAACAACCACATAGAAAATAGTTGACTTTCACGGTAATATTTGATGCAAATGATACACTACTACATGATCAATGAATTTGTTGTAGAGCTTTTTCAATCCTAGTAATGAGTTCATACTCTTACATTGGATTTGTCAGCTCAAAATTGACATATTCATTATTTCGGAATTAGATTTTAGTCTGAAATAAGAATGGGGTGAGTTGAATTTAGGCCTGAGATATAGGCCCATATTTAAAGTCAAACACACACACATTGATATTTATACATGTTTTTTCTTCTATTTATGTGCATGTATCTTTCCGTATTCTCACAGCATGTATAGGTATATATGGTTTTGCTTAAAAGAAAATCAATATGCCAATATGTATTGATTATGATTTTTTGGTGAGATTTACATTTCCGTTACTTACTTTACAAGTCATATGAGAATATTATTATTTGAATGATATATATATATATTATTCACTGTGTCCTATTTATAGTGTCATACTTTACATTTTTTGCCATCCCAAAAGTAGAGTCGCACTTTCAAAAGTCAGTACATAATTGGGCAAGACCTTTTGAATTGCCCTCTCTTAAAGAACTTTAATTGGTTAGAAAAAAGTTGTAGTAGGACTCATAGCAAGTTTACTAAAGAGCTATTTATTAGTGCATGAATTGCAAGTACTGCAATGTTTGAAGCAAGTTTGGCGTATGTAATTAGACGTGGTTGAGTATTGAAGTCTACAAAAGAGAATTGAATTTTGACATACTTTGTACATCTATTAACATGTTGCTGAGAATAAAATTTGGCGTAAAAAGAATCTTTTGGCAGCTTCTTGCACTATACACACTACAACAAAAATGACCTTTAAACGACATTTAAAGGTGTTAGTATAGATAATCTAACTTGACATTTTATCTTTTCTCACACCTCGGACGAGTGTCGTCCCTTCCAATGTAGGGATAGGTATGTAGTATTCAAATGTGTCAAGAAAATTATGCTGTTATAACATCTCATCTGCCAACGAAAATTCCTTTTCTTGATAATCGAAAGTGTCAGGATAGCTATAGTTAGTAATAAGTAAGAGTTTTTTTAACGGAGTTATGCTGACACTTTTAACTGTCAGGAGTTTTTTTTTTTTTTTTTTGATATAGAAGCAACCTGCGGGTAGTGCTCCCAGCTATACATTCCGTCAATCAAAAAACCCAAAGGACTTGTAAAATTATCCCAAAGAACAGAATGCATATAGTAATCTAAAAGCAAAAGTCAATGTTCAAATACAATTTGTTGAACTAAAAGTCAGTAACAAGTACAAACTTGAAAGATTCCCTAACAAGTATAATTTGTTGAACTAAAAGTCAGGTAACGTAATTGTACAACATTAGCAACGATTCGCGAGAGGTACAGTAAATATATATAGTACATTGTTTGGGCGCCTATAAAGCAGGATATTAAAACCGAGCAACCCATACCGTCAGCGAACTAATCAAAGTGAAGTCAGCTCCATGAATTTCTGTTTAATGTGATAATTGTCTGCACCAGTAAAGTACATTACGGGTATTTTCTTTGAACATTAGAAGCTCCATGTTCCTCAAACCTGTTAATCAAGAGATAAAACAGACTGAAAATGGGGAGAAAAAAAGGAGAAAAGTTGAATATTGAAAGGTAGAGTGGATGTAAAAGCTTACTCAGATTTTGAAAACCACATTTGCTGAAAGGAACCAAGTGACGCCAATATACTCCCACCTATCCAAATAGTGAATGCGACAAGTTAGTCAATGCGCAGCATACTGAGATGCATCTAAAGCAATGTAGCTTCTAAATGCAAAGAAATGTCCACTTCAATCATAAAGCAGAAGCAAATTGGTCTAAACATGCAACTTTGGAGGAAGCACCGAGGCACATCTAGACTATATCGTAAGTAAACATATCAAATACTGTAAATTTTTGTATTTGGAGAAATCCAGCAATTTGCTGACTATAACAAAGTTAATTCTCCTAAACATCATTTAAATGTTACATGCAAAATTATTGCATAAATTTGCCCTGTAAATTGTATTCTTCCCCATTCAAATTCTCTTACCTTTCATTTTTAAACATCCCCAAATAAAAATTCAGAAAAAATCAAAGCATATAGTTTTGAGAGGGCTTTCGACTTTCTGAGAAACTGATGGACCATTTCTCAAGTTGGAGAAGAAAAGCTCATGAAGAATATATATGCAATTAGCACAAAGAAATTAGTCTGAAATGAAGATCATAATAAGGTGAATGTAAAGAGATACAGAGTGACAACTAGATACCATTTTCAAATAGAAACTCAACTTTTTCAGGAGAACCACGTAATCTCCTTGCAGTAATTTGCAAAAGAGCACCATCTATAAGCATGTGTTGTACCACTCTTGCAATATTTTTGGTATCATCAATTCCAAGATGGTGACTTCCTAGTAGCGGAATTTGGAGTTCCCTTATCATTGAACCATTCCTGGAGCCTGACAATCAAAAAGTTTATCACTACAATCTGAGAAGTTTAACACAACTTGGTCTAATCAACAGCAGCTGCAAACGAGCATTGAGCTGAGATGAAACACTCTATAAAATGCATAAACTCACAGACCAATCTCACACTAATGCAACGTACTCTGAAAGTAGATTGTACAGTAACATGGCAGTCACACAACTAAATCATGCCAACCTATGGTTCACATAGTGTAATCAACTCAGCTAAATCCAAAGGGAACCATTTCAGAATCAGAAATGTGTAAGTACAGCAAACTCACCCTTCACTTGCCAAAGAGAAATCAAATTAAAGAAAAAGGCTAACATTCAACAGTCAGTCATTAAATATGTATTGTATAAACAATATCTCACCCTTAGTTCCACATGGGAAAGATAAGGCCTCCTCTCTGTGTCATGAGAAAATTGAACTTTTCCCTTTTTCTCTCCTGACTTCATCCATTCCTTATTAACATTGGGATGAATCCACATATCTTCCATGTCTTCTTTCAAAGTACTGGAGTCCCAAGTTGTATTCAATGGACCTGCTGCCTCATGTATAAACACACAAAATTTATCTTTCAGCACAAAGTATTATCATAGTTACAGAAAATGTACACCAATTAAGTGACAATGAAGTTTTTACATTTCAATACGTTTCTTAAGCAATGTACTGAGTAACATAATTACTTGGGTATATGATGACAAGCAAGCAGAGCATACTGCCCCCACGTAGATGTTATTTTTTTCTACTGCAAGATTTAGAGGAAATAAAGTCTGCTATTAAACGGAAAGACTACTTGATTGTGTTTGGATAAAAATATTTCGTAGTTAAGTTAGATAGGAGCTTACAACATCACAATAATAATTTCTTTAGCACGCATAATGAGTTGCTTGCTTAGTAAAAGGGAAAAATACAAATGATAAATTTCTCAATAGAAAAAATCTGAACAAAAAAAAAAATAATTCCCTCGAAAAAGTTGAAGGTAGCACGGCATTATCAAATTGTCATCCATGATCCATTGTGTGTGTATATATATATATCCATTGCGTATCTCATTTATTTATGAGATTAGGACACGCCCCTAAATAAAGTTCGAAACACACAGTGACGCACTAACTGGCCAACCACAGAACATGACACACTACTACGCTACCGTAAATTGGGAGCCAGAATTTTAGGTAGAAGTTAGGATAAGGCCTACCTGGCATGCGCTGATAATAATCCACTCCATTCCAGCTGCCAATCTGATTGTAAAGCATAGTATGGTATGGGCACTGCAATTTTGATGATCTTTGGAATTAGCTAGTATTTATAGCGCTACAAGTTTATCTTCATGTTGAGACGCGAATAAATTCTGGTCTAGTGACTCGTTAGATAGAACCAAGGTTTCTCATTAGCACTCACCACTTGTTTTTGCCTGATGAAGGATATTTTAGCTATTCTAATTTGAAATTGTGATGAAAATAAAAAATTATGACTATGGCAATATCAGCAGGCAATAGAGTGTCAAAGTCCAGAATTAATAACTTCTTTTTTGGGAACAATTTTAATGATTGTTGAATCTATCTTTTAAATTGTATGCCTTTAGTACGATGTCCCTCCTCTCCCCAACCTTGCTCATGTTGGCGGTCACATTATAGCAAAAAAGAGAAACGACATAGACTCTGTCCAAACTCGTTTAGGGAACACTACCACTTATAAAGGAGCCCAAAATAATAATTATTATTTAAAAAAAAAAACAGAGCTATCCTTTGAATCCTAACAAGTGATAAAGACACCGGAATTGGGTTCTACACTGGATAACGAGGAACGATGCCTGGCTGTGCCAGAAAAGGTCGGCTGGCATGAATGCATAAATTTTCTTCTTTCTTCATTCGAACCTTCCGACAAATAGGTAGTGAGCATGAAAAGTTTTGAAATTTCTTTTTCATCAATTCCTTATACGGCCTGAGCTTGATTTTAAATCTAAAGCTCTACTCAAACCTATGATCAATTCCAGCCACTTAAAATCGATTAACAAGATGAAAGTAAAGCATAACCGACATGATTGCAGACAAAGAAGAAAACAATACAATTAAGGGGGAAAAAGTACAAGAGTGTGGGAAACTTTACAGTGATGATTTCCGCTGTAGTGGCTGGACTCCAGTGAGATGATAACGGCAACCTTCGCCTACTCCTCGGCATGCTCAACCTGAATATCTAGTCAGTAAGGAGAAGCATGGGGATGCGTTTCAGAGGAAAGAAGAAAAAGGAAAAAGCACGAGTATCTATTTTCTTATTCTTTTTGTCCTAGCAAAGAGAGCGAAGGCTTATTGGTGCAGGTGTCGTGGTTGACCGAACAGGGTAGGGAAGCGGCCGAGTTAGCAACTGAAAATAGGGGAGTTGGGCGGCGGCGAAGACGGAAGAACCAAAATGGGGGAGTTTTGAGGGATAGTTTGCCGAGAGAGAGAGTTTGTGAGAGAGATGAGAAGAACCAAAATTTCGCTGGCTTGCAAAATAAAAGTTTTGAAATTTCACTAAGTGTTTTGGCAAGGAATCTTCCGCCAAAATCAAACAACATCATTTTATGTTTTAATTTTTTTGGTGTATCTCACATTTTTTCAAGTGTCATGATAGGGAATCTAAAGACACATTATTATTTTTATATCAGATAAAATAAAACAAAATTAAAGTATATATTATTGAATTGATAATAAGTGTCATGATAGAATAGCTATAATAACAAAAACCAGCAAGTGTCCTTTTAGGCGTGTCAGGAAAAGCCATTTTTGTTGTAGTGACATATCAAGTGTAAAAATAAAGAAATGTCAATTACTTCAGAGCATAATGAGCACATGATTGCATAAAACTGTGTCTACATAAACAAAATTTATTATATCATATCTGTGATGGCCCTACCTCACCCTAAGTTGAACCCTAGGGTTAGCAAGCGAAAGTGTATCCTAGGGTTTAGCAGACTGCTTCCTTAACTCTCTCCAGAAGTCATTTTACTAACTTTCAAAACATATTAACTACCACAAAAGAGTCATATAATTCTAAGATACAACTATAGATCATTACTAACAAAAGGATTTGAAATACAGATTATAACCATAGATCATTACTACAACTTCAGTCTATTTCAACTCAAAATCTTTGAAGTTTAAGACCACTACTACTCACTTTCCTTGTAAAGAAAATAATTAATGGATGAGTTTATGCTCAGCGAGGTTCCAAGCATGTAATAACAAAATAAACAATTTCTTTTCAACCAATAGCATAGCATAAACGAACTTCACAATTCCATAAACAGGTTTGAAGTAAATAGCATAACTCATTAAAAGGATATGATCTCACTGTGGGAACTATTTCACTATCACTGCACGATCCATTGCCAATTGTCCAACGATTCAATTTATTCAATAAGCAATTCAATCATCATTAGCTACAAGGTAATACTTGAGAATACAACAATTTCACATACCTAGAAGCCCATAACTCTCCCATGGGTCAATCAGGCTGCGGTACCCAAGGCTACCAACCTACTCGGCCAAGCCCATTGTCGAGTCGAATAGGCTGTCTAGTGATAGGTTTTAGTACCCAATTCAACCGATATGATAAGGTACGCACCTGACATACAATGCATGCGCCGGGAGTATAACTATGGATCATTAACTTTTTAGTTTAGTTGGAAAATGGACCATAAAGTACACCCCTTTCAGCAACAATACTTATACATATCCAATCAATTCAAAATAAGTTGTTCAAACCAATCATTTTAATGCTATCATTTACAAATTAGCCAAGTATACATCAAGTGTCATACAAGATCATCCAACCACAGATAATAATACGAACACTCACTGATTGAGGTTCAATTCATGCGTTGTCTTTGGGGTGGCATTCTTGACTAAATTCGACTCCTGATATCCAACATAAGTATTTATAGTTATTAAATTATCTTAAATTCTATTCTAATATACTAAGTGGTGTATTTTCTATACTAATCAAACTAACAAGTTTAACCTATCTAAATCTTCAAAGATTATGGTTTTCAGTTATAGTTTAGTACCTAGTATTTTGTTAAACTTTATATATTTATGAAATAACCCCAACTGTTCTTAAAATTTATGTTAGTATTTATTATTTCCGAATAGTTTAGGTTTCTAGCTTGGAGTAACTGTTACTTTATTTTCTTTAGTTTTAAAATTCATCAACTTTAGTTTTCTTCTTAATTTTAGTATCATAATCTTTAAGGATCTTCATTCACAATTTTCACCTTAAGTCAAATATATTTGATATGTATCTCAAAACAAATAAATATGCTATATGCGCAACAAAATTTCTTCTCTAGAAACTTAACATGTAATCGAGAGACCATAAGCTTCAAATTCCTCCCAAAAACTCATAAACCCCTTACTTAATCCACCATACCCTTCATGCATGTCAAAATAAGTAAATTTAATGGCATAGGAAGCGAATTCGTTGTATTTTCATCAAATTCCTGGAATGAAATAGGGGAAAATAAGGTTTATCCTTCACGGTTCTACCAGAAATTTTCCAGCTTTGGTTTTTCTTCTAATAGTTGATCTGTTCTTGCTTTTAGTTCAGCAAATGTCACATGCATGGCTAGATTGAGGATATGGATGATGCATAAAGTAAGTTTTTAACCAAATTCAACAAAACACTTGGAGAGAAAGCTGAAAATTTTCAACTTCACTCCATTGGGCAACATGCATCATCATACACAAGAATTCCAGCAAGGGTTTCTTCATAATCTACATCTGTCATGCTTTGATTTAGGTCAAAAGTTGCATGCATATCAAGATAAGGGAGTTAGGGTGCATATGTAGTACGTTAAGGCATAATCTAACAAAGTTCTGATGGAAAACAACCAAAAGATTGCAGCTTTACTCTATCGGACAACATGCAGCACCTTGAGCAGAAATTTTCCAGTTTTGATGAACTTTTCCTCAGTTAAATTCCTCTTTTCTTGGTGTTAATTAAAGCTAAGACATCATTAAACCAAAGTAGGAGGAGAATAAAGAGAAACTTAACAGTTTTTTTTCATTTTTACCTCTTGTTCCTCATGACTCCTAGGCCAGAAAAATTCCTGTTTCTCCCTGATTCCTTAGCTAGTTGAGTTAGGGTTTTCTTGTTACTTGGTTGAGGCACAAGACGCAAGGAGAAGGAAGAGAGGCTGCAGGTTTTCTTGTAGTTCTGCCCTTGGTTGTTGGTAAGCAAGAAGAGGAAAGTTTTTGGTGGTTTCTATCTCCCTCTCTCTCGGCCAATTGAAGATATGAAACTCTAGTTTCTTGTAAATTTGGAGAAATGAAGTCTTTGGGCTCTTTTAAGTGGGAAAGAATGATGCATGCAAGGACAAGTGTAATGACATCTTCTAACCGGAGATGTTTCCATGACACCTTGACTAAAGGAATTTGCTTGTTGCTTAAAACCTTCACTTTTCCATCTGAGAGCTGTATAGGCTGTTTCTCATAGGATAAAGATTTGTCCTTTTCAACATCTTCGGG